CCTAATTGTCCCAAAATCATCCAAAACCCTCTCCGTAATTGTAATAGACCCCAAGAACTCTCCAAGAGTCTAAGATTCATTCAAAACGGACCTACAAATCAAAAGTTGGAAGCCTCGAAAAGGGCCAAATAGTATAATGACAATAATAACCCCTCTATCGAGCCGTGCACCACATGGTGCGTCCAACCACCGGAGGCATCCTGCGTTGTATGAGGCACGACATAACATGACAATAGGTTGCGCTTCACATGATTCGATGGGCCTATGGATGTGGGAAGCTATTCCAAAATCCTAGATTAATCAAATTAAAACGACTTTTTATCATAATATTCTAGAAATTTTGAATATCCAAAAAACTTTTACGGAATGGATCGAATTTATCTATTTTTAACGATGGCCTTAATTCAACTTATAAATATCCCTTCTAAAAATCCTAGAAAATAAATCTGAAAAAACATCTAAAAATTATTGAAAATAGAGAAAAATCTCTAGAAAATATGTCGTAGAAAAAATCCCTAAAAATTAGTAAATAAAATTTCATTAAATAGAAAAAAACCTTACATAAATCCTAAAAATTATTCAAATAAAATAATTCCCCAAAAATACTAAAAAGCCCCAAATTTTGTATTAGAAATTAAGAGATCCAAATCCCTTAGAAAATTAGGAAAACCCATCTCCTAACCTTAGGAAAAATAAGGTAAACTTTACGTAAAAAACCCTAGCCCTTTATAAAGCTTTAGGAACCCTAGATCTAAGCAAAAAAGTATTAGATCCAGCAAATTTCAGCAAGCAAAGGCATCCAAAAGAGAAGATGTTGGCACAAGAAGAGTGGTCTCATCAAACCCTTAAACTCCGAGCTTCGGGTCCCTAAGGTAAGTAATTCCTTCTTACTTTTTAATTTCTAGTAATTTTTCTTTAATTATAGTTTATTTTCTCTGCAATTTCTTTTTCTTAGAGTTAGTAAAAGGACTATTTAAAAGGTCAAATATATAGATTTTGAAGTTGCCTTTGCTAGTACACTCACAGGAGAATCAGATCTATATGGATCTGCGATACTTATGAGCCTATAATTTGAGCGACCCTACTCTCTCTACTTATCTATAAATTTAACTCCTTTCGCATTGTATTTAAGTTGATATCATTCTGAGAGCGGCATAAATCCGAGCATAAACATGGTGTAATGACCTTGAAAGGCCATCATCCTAAACATTCTCCAACTTAGCCTTTTGAGGCCTTGCCGCGCCCACAACATACATTATAACTAGTCATACTTATGCATCTCAAAACATTTTCATATCCCACACATACATACACATAGTGACACTCAATAATGTTCAATTTTCTTATCTTTTCATTTAACCTTTGGTCTTTCTCAAGCCCATGCCATGAACATGTCCTGTAAAGACATTTGCCACAAGCCCTTGAGTCATGAGGTCCGTGCGCATAGCTAATGTAGGGCTGTAATTTACATCAATATCCTCATCTTCAATATCTTTCCTTATACGATAGAATTCCGCTCTAATGTGTTGAGATATGCTTTGAAACCTTATTTTCTATTCCTTATACGATAGATGTCTGGTTGTTACATATGATTTTAATAATTCCACATCTCAAAAGTCTATATTTCAATTGATTTAGAGATTTCTAAATCCATGTCGCCTCTTGGGAAGCTAAACAACATGCCACATGATCAGCCACCATGGTAGATGGTCTTGTTATATTTTATGCCTCCACCATGCATAAATAGGCAGTGCACAGTAGACTTAAGTTCATTCGAGTCCGCTTGGAAGAGCATCCGAGTATTCAAGTATGGTTAACTTAGGCACACCTCTATAAGTAAGTGTGGTTAACTCAAACACACCAGACACACCTCCATAAGTAAGTGTGTAATCCATACTTGTGTAATCCATAGTTCTCTTAGGGCCTGTTTGGTCTTTGAATTTTGCAATCTTAGGACAAGTCAATCCTGGAATTGAGATTTTCTGGAAATGTCAATTTCTTGTTTGGATCGCATTTGGTAGAAATCAAGAAAATGTAAATTCTTTATTTGGATTGTCTAGAATATATTTTTTTCGGAAATGCAAATTCTTTCTCATTCTTTCTCTCTAAAAATTTTGAGATAGTTTTTCTCTCTAAAATTTTAATACACTCTTTTTCAAAAACTTAAAATTTGAAATAGTTTCTCTCTCAAAAAATTTTGATATAGTTTCTCTCTTTATAAATTTTATATACTTTCTTTCTCTAAAATTTGATATAGTTTCTCGCTCTTAATTTTTGAGATACTTTCTCTCTCTGAAACTTAAAATTTGAGATAGCTTATCTCTATACAAATTTTGAGATAGTTTTTCTCTAAACTAGTTCAAAAGTTTCTCTCTCTAAATAATTTAAGGTAGTTTCTCCCTCTAAAATTTTAAAGTATTTTTTCTATCTAAAACTTAAAATTTGGGATAGTTTCTCTATCTAAAATTTTTCATATAGTTTCTCTCTCTAAAAATTTTAGGTACTTTCTCTATCTCAAATTTGATATAGTTTATCCCTCTAAAGTTTTAAGATATTTTTCTCTCTAAAACTTAATATTTGAGATAGATCCTCTCTAAAATTTTTAAGTAGCTTCTCTCTATAAAATTTTATTATACTTTCTCTCTCAAAAACTAAAATTTGACATATTTTCTCTATCTAAATTTTTTAAATAGTTTCTCTCTTTAAATATTTCAAGTGCTTTCTCAATCTAAAACTTGATACAGTTTCTCTAGCTAAAGTTCTTAAAATTTGAGAGAGTTTCTCTTTCTAAAAATTTTATGATAGTTTGTCTATCTAAAATTTGATTTAGTTTCTAATTTCTAAAATTTTAATATGCTTTCTCTAAAAGTTAAAATTTGAGATAATTTATGTCTCTAAATATTTTGAGATATTTCTCTCTAACATTTTTTTAAGTAGTTCCTCTTTCTAAAATTTCATGTAGTTTTTCTCTCTAAAATTTTCAGATACTTTATCTCTTTAAAATCTAAGGTTTGATATAGTTTCTCTCTCTAAAATTTTAATATGGTCTCCATAAAACTTTAAATTTGAGATAGTTTCTCTCTCTAAAAAATTGTATATTTTCTTTCTCTAAAAAAAATTGTACACCTTCTCTCTCTAAAATTTGATATAGTTTCCCTCTCTAAAATGTTATTATGTTTTTTCTCTTTAAAATTTGATATATTTTCTCTCTCTAAAATTTCAATATTCTTTTTGTTCTTTAGCAGCAAAATGAATCATTTCCATAAAATGTCAATTCCACTTATTTTGGTGTACTTGAGATTTCCAAAATTTAGGCTTAAAATGAGCATTTAGGAATCCCATAAAAATTCTCAACTCCAACCAAAATGTCAATTATAAACGAACCAAACACGATTAGCCTAGCTTTTCTAGAAGAAGTGACTATTGGAAATCTGAATCCAATGAGCCAAACAGGCCCTTAAGGTATCTCATTATTCTCTTGACAGTCTTCTAAGGCTCTAGTTCTGGATTATTATGAAATCTCCCTATTAAGCTCTGGGAAATTGCTAAATCCGATCTAAATCTTCGGGCCGCATACATTAATGATCCTGCAATGGTCCTATATAGGGTTCTCTCCATTTCTTGTTTCTCCATCATTTTTAGGGCACATGGCTAAATTTAACCTGCTTCTCTTCTGAAGAGTAAAGAGCAATTCTACTATTGTCTTACAATTGGTTAATTCCTAAGACATTTGTATGCTTACCTTAAGTCCCTCGTATCAAAATTATTTAATATTATATTTTTAGTTTTATTTATCAATTATAACGAGTTACAAGCCATTAGAATATCATCCAAGGTTGTGTACCTGGAGCTTTATCTCAAAGTTACTAGGAAAAGAGCTATAGTGGCTAATCTCATTTCTTGTAATGAAGGTATTCCAGTTTGGAATATTACTCTTTCCACCACCAGAAGGGAACACAGTTGAGAGGCAGTTTGGGGAATTGATGGAAAGTCTTTACTCGTTTTGATTCTATCCTTGGAAACAAGCTACAATGATTTGGAGCCTATAATCAAGAGGTTATTTTTCCACTGCATCACTTTATAAAGAGATTTGGAGGGATAGATATTTTGAAAACAAAAAGCATCTAGCCCAGGTGGCCCGAGGTTTTTGTTGTTAGTTATGTTTCTTTCGATCTTTATTCTTATTTTGGGTTTTTTTTTTTCTTTCCTCCTTTTTTTCTTTTTTTTTTTCTTTTTTCCTTTCCTCTCCCAAAACTTCTTTATCTTAATGAACATCACACTTTCCAATAACAAGGATTGCTGCTCGTTGGACGTTGAATCCCTATTCCGTTAATGTTGTGTGGAATTTAAAAAAAAGAGGCACACTTTCAATTTTTAAGCTTTATATCTCAAGATATCCAAGAATTCAAAACATAAACATAGTGTTGTAAAAAAATTTTAAAAAATAAATAAATAATAAAAAAATTTTAAATTTTATTTCCTTTTACCTTTAGACGGCACGAATTTGTTTTTTTACCTCAAACAAATAGAAAAAAAACTATTCTTTCAACACATTATATTTTCTCCTTTCTCATCTTAAAGAGAGATTTATGTACAATAAAAAATAAAATAACAATAGAAAATCTTTGAATTGTACTCTCGATGTACTTAAAAAGTATTTTCTAAAATATTATCCAATTTTTGAAAGGCAAGGTCTAAATGTCCCCCAAAAACTAAAAAAATAATAATAATAATAAAAAAAAAACTCAATCCAGATATGAATAGATATAGATGCAAAGTGAGAGAGAGAAACCGTGACAATGCAGATTCCGATATGAAGCTTTGTTTGCATAAAAATGAACAAAGGAGCCACATCCACCATTCATCCACTAGAACCACTAGAAGGAAAGGAGAACGGTCGCGTATTCAGATCAGAGTGAGAGCATTTAGAAACCAAAAAACCTAAAATTTGATGTCGACTGATTCATAAATACAAGAGAACACATCAAACAGATCTGGCCCTATAGATCCAGCTTCTCGGGCAGATTTGAAGCAAGACGCGAAGCTATAGCAGAATGGTACATCGCATCATGAAAAGTTGCAGACTCCATCATCTTCAGTCTCATCATCTTCGCCTTCTCTGCAGTGAAACAACCTGCAGAAAACCTTGGCTTTGAAGAAGAAGATTCATTCTTTTCCTGATAGTTGTCTGATTTCTTGCTTTCTTCCATGTAGTCTGGTTCGGAGGACCAGCCAAAGAGAGGAGTCCACCAATTTGAGGAGGACGAAGCTTTAGGGAAAGAGAGAGAAAGCTTTTTATGGCTGCTTTTTGAGGGCATTGTGGCAGATCTGTTGCAGAGGAAGCTAGAATTTGAGGACAAGATCAGGGAAGAAGCCATTGTTTGGGAGAAAACGGAAGCTGGGGAAGCTAAAACTTGAGGAAAGAGGTTCAGAAGGCGAAAAAATTAGGAGAGAGAAAGAACTCTCGGAAACCAGGATCTTTGAGGAGAGAGAGAGGAAACAGTAAGTAGATATATCCTGAAGGACAGAGAAAAAGTGCAGCGTTCGTTCGTCCTACGAAAAGAGAAAAGTATTTATTTAAGATTTGTTTTTTATTTGATTTAAAAGTGAAGCGTTCGTTCGTCTTACGAAAAGAGAAAAGTATTTATTTTGGATTTGTTTTTTATTTGATTTTTGGTATTTTGAGACGGAGACGGGGACGGGGACGGGGACGGGGACGGGGACGGAGATGGAGGTGCAGGTAGATATTTAAAATAGAGCGTGGATAAAATGCTACCTCTAGAGTATACTGGGTTTATTCCCTTGGGCAAAGCACTTATTTCTGATTTGTTTTTTTATTCGGGTTTTGAGATCCAACTAATTATTTAATAGATGGTTATTTTTTTCAAAAAGGTTAGATTTTATTTATTTTTTAATTTCGAGATCATTCTCTCTAAATTTTAGATGGTTTCGGTTTAATCTTAGGATTTTTTTTGTTTTCTCAGGCATATAGAGAGAATGATATTGAACTATTATTATTTCTTTGACATCAAATTCTCGAAATCTAGAATATAAAAGATGAAGGGATGTAAAATTTAACCGAGAGAGTATTTGAATAGCAAACACCCGCGGGAGTAGGAATCCTTTTAACTTCAATACAGAGTCTGCGCTAGGGAGGAAAAAAGAGCGGATAAGGATGTAACGTCAGCAACACGTGTCAATAAAGTAATAGAGTCGTATTTGAACGCTTTTCGCTTTCTCCCCACGCTCGCTGCCCGACGTTCGCTTTCACAATTGCGTTCTTTATTTAGTGGGTTTCCACGAGGTAGCCTACTTTTTTACTTAATAATAATAATTTGTATTTATTATAATTATTAAGGGTGCGTTTCGTTGGCGTCTAAACATTTTTTAAGACAAATATTACATATGTAAACAATTCGCATAAACTATTCCGCAATTTTTTTTCTCCATGTTTGATTGTTTTTTTTTTTTTTTTGGGAAAATCAATGGGGGAGAAAGTCTCCTACCCGTTTTTTATTAATAAAAAGAGAAAAAAAAAGTACATCCCACTATTTTACAACCCAAGAATACAACACTCGGGTCAAATCATGAATTAGGGTTAGTGAGAGAAAATCTAGTGAACGAGAGCGCCAAATTGGCGCCAGAATGGGATCTTGCTCGGTTAGCAAGAACATCGGCGACCATGTTGCCCTCACGAAAGATGTCGGTAATATACTACACAGTTAGAGAGTCTGGATCTGCAGTTGGCTACAACCGTATGTAAGGACCGTGGGGAACGACATCGATCAAGCATAGAATTCACTAGCAAAGATGAATCTCTTTCAATTTGAAGAGTAAAACAATTCATCTGGCTAGCGTGAGTCAAACATTCTTCCAAAGAAAAGAATTCAGTAAAATTATTAGATGTGATATCGAAGGGTTTCGCAAACGCGGCAATGAAAGCCCAATCACTATCTTTGAGAGCACCACCACCACCTGCTAGATCGGGATTCTGTAAGGAGGCACCATCAATGTTTAGCTTAAAATGCCTAGGATTAAGAAAGGACCATGCAACTGGAATTGTGGATTTTGATTTCTACTGGAGCCATGTGATATGTAGATTACCAATTATTAATTTTTCTGACAAGTGAAAAGTCCCTACTTAGCTTCTGCTAAGTCTCTGATATGAAAAGTGATATGTCTAATTAATTGTTCCCTTCTTATAACCTTCGATTGAGCAACTCTCCGGTTACACTCGGCCTAAAAAAATTAGATAGTTGTGAAAAAGACAGAAGTCTAGATATTGAGTTGTTTATACTCGAAAATGTGGGCAAAGAACTCAGTTCTCTGCCTTGGTTTCCGGTGCAAACGGGTCAAACAGTTGATAGAGAAAGAGTCCCGTCAAATTACGTCTTGAGCAAGAATTGGGCTACAAGGCCGTATCTTGCTCATACCATAAGCAAAGCTGGCTTTACGTACACTTAGGCTTAGAGTTCAAGTGGAGCTTTGAAAATGCTTTACCAAAGAGGGAGGGGTTTTGATGAAGATCTCTTTTAAAAAAAGTAAAACGCTAATTATAATATTAGATAAATAAAAACAAACTGAATTGAACTAAGAAAGCTTTAAAGCATACTCCTGAATAACTATAAAAGCATTATATATGGAAATAGATGACCCTTATTAATGCTAATAATTTAAATAAACAGGGGGAGAAAGAGAATGTGAGCCTTAACGGGTCTTAATGTGAGAGATAGAGAGAGATGAAGAGAGACAAAACTTAAAGAAAGCAATAAAGACTCATTAATGGAGAATGAGAGAAATAATGGATAACATGTGGTCGGGCCTGATTTCTCATCGCACCGGGTAGGTCCGGATGTGGGTGACCCAGTCGAAGGAATCCCCTTTCAAACAACTCCTCTTGCATGTACCTCTTAGTGAATGAGTGGCTCTGAAATGGTTTGGGAAATGGGAGTAGAAAGTCTCTAACAGCCCGAACATTATATGACTAGATGGTTTAGAATAGCAAGAGAATCATAATTCAAAAGAAGACTGACTCAGGATGACTACAACTCGAGTAAACGGGAGTTAGAGAACCAATGTCTCTTACGACCTCAATTCACTATACAAGAAGGTGGTTAGAGTAGCAATCCCAGTATTAAGAATATAAAATACTATCTCAAAACCTCTCTGAGTTAAATGTTTCGAGTGATGAGGGCAACAATCAGCAACAAAGGTGTGATAAGAAGGTGATAAAATGAAAGGATTGAAAAGGGTATAGTTTAAGGAAGAAAGAATGGTTGGGCGCCGGTAGAGAGATGGCAATGGATGAGTGATGGCGTAGGTGCGTGAGGAGATATGAGTGCACTATAGAGAGAGAGGGTACAAGTGCGCTATAGAGAGCGCAGGTATGAATTAGTGGGCGAGTGCTCATAGAGCACGGGTAGACAAGGGCGATACAGAGCGCGAGTAGGCGAGTGCACTACAAAACGCTGGTAGACGAGTGTGCTACAGGACGAGGATAGGTGAGTGCGGTACAAAACGCAGGTAGGCGAGTGCGCTACAGACCACAGGTAGACGAGTACACTACAGAGCGTGGGTAGGCGAGTGCACTACAGAGCATGGGTAGGCGAGTGCGCTACAGAGCATGGGTAGACGAGTGTGCTATAAAGCGCGAGTAGACAAGTGCGCTAGAAAGCGTGGGTAACAGAATGCACGCAGGAAGCAGGTAGAAGTGTGCACGTAAGGAGTTGGCAGAAGTGTGTGTGTAGAGCGAGGGTAGGAGAGTGCAAGCAAGGAGTGGCTAGAAGAGTGCACGAGATTATAGAAACAACGGAGGTAGCTAGGACCACCTTAGGCGCGGGTCTGTGACTTCAAACGAGAGAAAGATTGAAAGAGAGAGAAAAGAAGAAGAGAGAGAGAAGGAAGAGAGTGAGGAAGGTTGAGGGGAGAGAGTGGGCATAAGATGGGCTTGAGCCTAGGTGCTCTTCTTTGGGCCTCCTTCACATGCACATTAGAGAAAAGGGTATTGGGTTGGTGTAAGGACCACAGATTTTCCTGGGAGTGTGACACATATGGCAAAACACATGGAAGAAGAGAGAGAGAAAGGAGCATCGCCACATGTGTAAAGAGTAGTGCCATGTGTAGGAGATGCCTAGTGTCGTGTGTGTGGAAAAGGCCTAGCGCCATTTGAGAAGAGAGAGAAGAATGCAGTGTGTTAATGAGAGTAACGTAGTGCATGTAGTGGGGTATCGCCGCGCGTGAATGAGAGTAATGTTGTGCGTGAAGTGGGGTATCGCTGCGCATGATTGAGAGTAACACCGCGCCTGTAAGGGACTAATGCTGCGCAAGAAGTGAAGGTAGTGTCGTGAGTGAAAATGAAGATTTGACCACTGACAACGTCGCATTTGTCAGTGCCACCTATGTCAATACCGCACACATCATCTATAGTGACCTTCAGCTACCCTGAATACTTAAACCCTTTTCTCTTCCTCTCCACCGCCATTTTTCTTCCCTCACTTACTCTCTCTCTCTGTAACTAGACCAACAGCCCTTCGAGGAAACCATTTCTGAGAGCTTGAGGTAACATGCGAGTGGGAGGTTGAAGACACCTTGAGCATCAAGTCAGTGGATTTAGAGTTCATGCATTAATTAACTCGTTAGCAACATATTTCAAGGATTAAAGATGCGAAAAACAATGGAATAAAGAGTATGAATGTAGTTGAATAAAAATGAGATTGAATGATTGCTGTAGTTTTTCTAATGAACTTGTTAGGTTTATGAAGTAGTCCACTTGCTAGATTTGTTTAACATGAATAGGGTTTTGCATCAAAGCTTATCTTGGCTTATGAAATGTTGCATTTTAATTTTAGCATGCTAAACTTTAAAAGTAAGATTCCAAAGATCATGAGGGTTTTTGCAACGAGTCACCAAACGATGCCCAAATGGGCTTAAACCGGCCTTGAATGAAAAATATGATTGTCTACTATAATATTTCTCTTTGTACCATGGTAAAACCCTTGCATAGATCTAGAGTTATGCCCAAAGTGTGGGGGCATACCACTGTTTATAGTAGATGGACGCTCCAGCCACTGTCATGCACTTTGCGTTGCAACGCCGTGCATGTATTGCTGCTTGTGCAACGCCGTGAGGGTATTGCCGCTTGTGCAACGCCGTGTGCGTATTGTCGCTTGTGTAATGTCGTGCGTGTATTGCTGCTTACGCAACGCCATGCGGGTATTGATGCTTGTGCAACGCCGTGCAGGTATTGTCGCTTGTGCAATGTCGTGCGTGTATTGTTACACGTGCGGGTATTGCTACTTGTGCAACGCCATGCGTGTATTGTCACTTGTGCAACGCCATGCGTGTATTGCCGCTTGTGCAATGTATGCGAGTATTGCCA